TCTCACTCACACACACATACATGTAGCTAAACGCGTCCGTGCACACACCTGCACAAACACAGACATTTGCATGTATCAATATATATATATATATATATATATATTAACGTATCTATGTTTTTAAACAATGCTATTACAAATTTCAGCAGATAAATTGATATGAAAAATATGGATACATGCTGCTAAACTGGTGCCATGTATTAATATATATATATATATATATATATATATATTAGTGTATCTGTATATATATATATTAGTGTATCTATGTTTTTAAACAATGCTATTATAAATTTCAGCTTATACATCGATATGAAAAATACTCTGAATTTAAGCTTATCCTTTTTTGTGAGCTAACTATATACACTAAATTATTTGGTGATAAGAGACTTTATGATCTAACTCGAATGTCTTTCAACATATTGTAAATAAATATTTATATATGTGGAATCAATGATATACTATTTTTTATTTCACATATATAATGGTTGCTATGGATCGTAAGCAATATATAATCTCAAAGGGGAAATAAGATATTGCAAATTTATTGAGGGTTAGAATAAAACGTTGAATATTGTTAAACAACAAATCAAGCACACCCCAAAATAAAAGGGGACATTTTCGAAAGATAGGGAAAAAAATTGCTTTATAAATGTCATAAAACTGATGCGAGAAAAATGAAAATTGTAATCAATAAGAATGGTATATTGTCTGACATGAATATTTTTATTTATTTAATATCTAAATATAAGAATTTTGGTTTTTCGAATTGAATCGAAAGAAAATGTACTATATTACGAAAATTAAATGTATGAAATTCATGTCTAATAGAGATAAAGTTTACGTTGAGGAATGAGTATATAAAATGTTGAAATCTCAAATGTAATTTTAAGATGACTATGTTACCGCTAAATGGATATTTTGTATAAACAAGACGGTTACAATTTTATATACATAGTAAAACAAAAAAAATGAATGCAGAGGAACAACTATCTATGTAGAAAATGGGAGTGTTATATCGAGTTAAAATTCTTACCATGAGCGCTGTTTTCCGCTTTGGTAAAAATACTCTGAAATATTCACCCTCAGTTTGGGATTGATAGCGTTGTAGACTCTGTACTTTCTATTTGTGGTTGCCATCAAATTAACTCTGAATTAAAAAGAAAACTGTGTAGGTGTGAGTCTAGCAGCTCCACCTCGTAAAAAAAAAGATCCTGAATGAGGAAACAACAGTAACGAAAACGAGGTTAATGACATTCTGGCTATATAGTGATTTTCCAAGCGTAGCTTAGATGTGATACAAGGCCGAAAGTAGGGGCAGCCATTGAGGACTGAACTCACTACTTTGTCATAATTGTTCTAGCGAGACAAGCTTGCTAACCATTACACTGCCTCGAGGTGCCCAATTCTGGCTATGTATTCGACGCAGGGAATTCTAATTGTCAATAAAAATAAAAGCCACTTCCTTTCTAATGAAGGTGTCACAATAAATACAAAAAAATATTGTAAGTACATCGACAAGATCTGTTCGAAGAAACATCCAGGATGTTTGAAGTTAAAAAACGATATTTCTGCAAGAAAATGCTTCTTCTCTATTTAACCGAATATTGCTACAAGACTCTCAAAGATACTAATTTAGTTGAAACCAGACATAAACTAATATTAATCTAATAATCTGCTGGGCCATCGTTGGTTGAAATAATCCTGTGACTTGACTCAAATATTTATGAGTTCGGTACCTGGCCACAGCAAAGGTGAACAAAAAATTGGAGCTTGTGAGTTACTAAAGGGAAATAACTGAAAATGAGATATACAGAAAAACGTGGAACCAGAACTATCTACAGCGGTGGAGGAATAAAAGTTTCGGTTAGAAATTCCAATGTATATCACTTGAAGAAAGGTGCAAAAACCGAAACGTCGTGTATATGACAATAAAGATGAGGACAATAGTCAGGACAGTGTAAAGAGTGTAATTGGATCTCTAGAAATCAATAGAGACTAGAATAAAAGAGACACCTTGCGCATTTCACATATGGAATACTTGAAATTATTCTAGCGATAGGAATATACTAAAACTTCGAACAGGAAATTCCATCCATATATTGTACCCAACATGATCGTCCTAAAATATTTCTAATTTTCTTTGTAATTAAAAAATTAATATCCAACTTCTAAGCAAAATTCCCGTCCTGGGTATGACGATAAACTACACCCGCGTCCAGGGTAAGACGATAAACTACGTCCAACAGCAAGGCCTCTGACCAGAAGGCTTTGAGGAGCGTTGAACCACCTCTTAATTGCTGGCGTTCCCAGGTCCCCTGACCTGGGTGGTAGCACCTGTTAGGATCCCAGCTATGGGCAAATAGTTAACCTCGAAACTGAGGTAAAAAGCATTATGAAATTGTAAAAATAGGTTTTAATACCAGAAAAAATTTGTAAAAAATTATTACCAGAAATAAATTTTTGAAGTAAAAAAAACTATTCCCAGCAAAACGTTTTTTAAAAATAATATTACCAGCTATACATTTTTGAGGAAAAACAATTACCAGAAATAGATTTTTGACAAAACAAAATATTACCAGGAAATAAAGTTGTTGGCATTAAATGACCCATTGAGGTTGATATGCCGTAAAACAAAACAAACAAAACCAATCTAAGCAAAATTCAGCAAGAACTATCCATGAATATATACATATATTTAAAAAGCGTCAATTCCTTTCAGCCCGTAGGCGGGGGTATGCATTTGAATGACCTCATATTCTTTATCATCTGCAAACTGTCATAACTTCCTAGAAAATATAATGAAGTAACTTTACATTAACTCTACACGACGTTTAATTCAGAGAAATCACGCTTTAAGATTTGGCTACAGCCCAGGTCTACTGGATACAATCTATATAAAAACAAGTAGTTATACATAGTGTTTATGGACTTGGCGAAGGCCTCTGACACTGTGAATCGAGAGGCTCTTTGGCAAGTTTTGATGAAACTCGGCATCCCAGAAAACCTGCTAAAGGTGATCCATGAAGCAATGAAAGCTAATATTGTGGCTAATGTAAGGATGTCAAAATCCTTTGATGTCACGAACGGCACCAAGTAAAGGTATGTCATGGCCCCTGTCCTTTTTGTTCTTTTATTCTCGGTGATGCTTAAATATGCATTCGCAGACGCAAAGAGCGGCGTCAAGTTTCCATTTTGAACAACTGGTGGACTCTTCAATCATCAGCGTTTCAAAGCCAAGACCCACCTTAGTACACAAATTATCCGTGATTTGTTGTTTGCTGCTGCTGCTGCTTCTCTGGTTACGACATCCTTTGAGAAGGCCCAACATCTACTAAATCGTTTCTCTGCTGCATGTAATTCCTTCGGTCTTACATTTAGCATAAAGAAAACTGAGGAAGTGCACCAACCTTGTCCTACTCTGAAGCATCTCCTTGGTGTGAAACAAAAACCACCAGTCTACAAATTTCCACAGAGACCATTAAAAGTAGAAGGCAAAGCCCTCAACTATGTAAATCCTTGGTTGCAAAGTCAACTACAGTGGACCTTTAGATGATAAAATCATGCATCGGATTGCTAAGGCTACCAGTGCTTTCGGCAAACTTCGCCATCGCTTGTGGGATGAGCGGGGTATCCAACTGGATACAAAAATTCTTGTTTACAGAGCCGTTGTCCCTGCCATCCTTTTGTAAGTCTCAGAGTCGTGGACTCTATACAAGTAACATATACGTCAGCTGGATGTATTCCATGAGCTTTCTGCGTACCATCTATGGAGATAGGCTTCAAGACAGGATATTCAATATCGACATGTTTAACAAGTGTAATATTGGAGGAATCGAGTCTTTCTTCATACAGTCTTAGTTTCGGGGGACTGTCTCGAGAATGTATGATGACAGCATATCCAAAATCCTAATGTACAGCCAGTTAGATCAAGGCTACAGGAATGTAGGACTACCATGGCTTAGATACAATGACAAGCTGAAGAGCAACTTGTCAGCTGTCAATATACCTCATAACACCCTCAAGAGGCGAGACAACCAATCTAAATGTGACCTCATCCCATAATCTTCACTCTTGCACGATATGCGGCCTCATTTGCAAATCATTAGCGGGTCTTAAGTGCCACTTAAGATTAACGCACAAAATTCATAAATGAATCAATTGGTTAAGTTGTCGGATCCTCATACGTCGAAACCAATGGGAGAGTCCATCATATATATATATATATATATATATATATATATATATATATATATATATATATATATATATATGTGTGTGTATGTGTGTTGGTTGGCTACTCATTACCGACTATGATGCATATGCTAGATTAGCTTGCTAATCTTTATTGCAGATACTTGCTCAGTTATATTACCATTTCTTCATCACCCTCAGAGGAAAATTGTGTTTTATATTACCACTATGTCGGGTGGAACTGACAAGTTCTGAATAGTGGCTCCTTTGTCAGATATAATGGAAATATTATATTGCTTGGCGTTACCGTCATTTACAACAGCAAAACGAGTCATAAGCCCAGGGATTTCACTAAGGCAAAATTCTCCTTTCTAGGCCTGCGATTAACTCTACTTATAAGATGGTTATATGAAATGCATTATACATTTACTAACCTCCTATGAATATTTGGAGAACCCCTCTTTCAAATGAGGAATTTCATGCAAGCTCTTTATTCCCGACGCGTGTCCAGAGAGGCAGCCATTTTAAAAGAGGATTATGGGAAGTAAAAGAGGAACACCTCTGAATTTCCCATGAGCTTCTCGGCACTTCTTGTTTTACAGCTAAAATATCCCCAGGAATTCTATCTAATACTTTTAAAATTAAATTAGAAAAAGGATTATTTTTCACCGACACTCATGTTACTTTCTTCCCAGGGAATCTTAGGTTGCCTTATAATTTCTTTGACATTTTCTTCGTTCGTTTTTTTTGTCATATTTAAGTATTAGATAATGTTTTCTAATAATTTTTTCTTACCACCCCAAGTCATGTTTTCTTTTATTCTTTCTTTCTTTCTTTCTTTCTTTCTTTCTTTCTTTCTTTCTTTCAAAAATATTATTAGTTATCTTCCCGTGAATTATGCATTTCTTCAGAGGAAAATACGATTCTTAAGTTTAAGCAACTAATACCATGGGGATCAAAATAACATGTGAGCGGAAATTTTCTCAGTATGAAAGGGACTTTGAAAATCGTATTGTGATAACTTCAAATTGGCATCTGAATTAAAATAAATAACCTACAGTCTGTTTTTAAGTGGGGCAAGAAAGCTTTGCTAAATTTAACTCCTGCAAAACGGTTCCATTTTAATCAGAAAAGAAAACCCTGGTGCCTTCCTTCAGCATGGCTGATACTAACCTCCGTCACGGTAACTCATTGCGTCTTTGGGAGCGTTTCAGCTGACATGAATTGGAAAGATTATATTGAATTAATTGCTAGGTCTGATTCTAGAACATTTTCTTTACTCTATCGTGCTAGACAATTTTCTCACCATCTATCATTTGTAAATCTACTATTCTTCCATGCTATCGCATCTGGTCTACTGTTCTTGCAACATATTTAGAGATTCTTGATAAAATCCAAACAATCTGCATTGTTATTGATCCTGACCTAGCATTTCGGCTTCAGTCACTTTCCCACCGCCATAATGTAGCTAATCCGAGAATTAGATATAAATATTTTCAGGGTTTATTGTACCGAAAAAAATTCTTCGATTGTACTTAGACATTATAAATTTATGTGCAATTCTGGATTAGCGGCAAGGTCTCATTATTTTGCAATTTAAATGACTAGATGTAACCATATTTCTATGCTAATAGTTTCTCTCGTATTTCTCGCTTGTAAAACTTCTCTATCAATTTCTTGCTTTCCAGTCGAATTTGGTCTTCAAGAATTTAAATTCAGTGTCCAACTTTATCTTCTGTTTTCTTAATTCTTGTTCTTTTACTGTTCTTTCTCCTTAATAATATTTTTTCTCGGATTCTCTCATACACAGTAACCACTTCCGTCGTAGTGGCTGTATTGCCTTGCTTTCGTCATAATTACTTAAGAAAAATGCCAAAAGGTTCAAAATTAATAAAGGGGGGTGCTAATCAGCTCGGTGGTTGCAAAATGTTCTCAAAAATAAAGTAAAATAAGTAAATAAAATGAACGTCTCCCCGCTTCTATTAGAGACCTAAGGAAATACTCTCTTGAATCTTTCTCTCTTTATATATATCACTTTATCTTTATCTTTCTCTCTCACCCTTTCACATTCATTTAGATTTACCTCTCTTGCAGCTCCTTTTATGCTTCTTTATTTTTTATTCTTTCTATTTCTTTCTTTCTTTCTACAAGGAAAAAGTTGTAGGCTTCTCGTCGAAAGTTATGCATTTCATTTAAATCAATATGTTCTTTTTCCCGAAATGATTACTTCTTTCTTTCTTCTTTTTTCCCTCTTCCTTTCTTTTCCTTTGCTTTCTTTTCTTACTTTTTTGTTTCTTTTCTTTTCTTTCTTCCATTTTTCCTTTTTTTCTTTTCTTTTCGTTATTTTCCTTTCTTTTCCTTTCTTTTCTTTTCCTTTCTTTTCCTTTCTTTCTTTCTTTCTTTTCTTTTCCTTTCTTTCTTTCTTTCTTTCTTTTCCTTTCTTCCTTTCATTCCTTTTCTTTCTTTCTTTCTTCCTCTCTTTCTTTTCCTTTCTTCCTTTCATTCCTTTTCTTTCTTTCTTCCTTTCTTTCTTTTCCTTTCTTCCTTTGTTTTCCTTTGTTCCTTTGGTTTCCTTTCTTTTCCTTTGTTCCTTTCTTTTTCTTTGTTTCTTTGTTTCTTTCTTTGTTTCCTTCTTTCTTTCTTTCTTAAAAATGCTGTATAGCAAATTTCAGGCAATTATGCATTTCTTAAATCGAATATTTTCTTTACACTAGTGTCTAAGGCATTACGCCGAAAATTACGCCATTGTAAAACTCTGCAAACATGTTCTTCAGCTTGTGACCTAGCCGGAGGCGACCACTATTAATCAGTCGCATCAAAGCCGTATTTTATTTTCTTCGACTGCGCAGCACTAAGCGAGTATTTCGCTCTTATTTAGGGTTAAACCAAAATCGATAAATTCAGGTTCTCCGATCTTGTGACATGCGGTATGAATAATTCATTGTTTGTTTAAACGCTAAATCGGAGACAGCTGCTTTCTATCTAAATTTTCCGTAGTGTTTTATCAGCAGTCAGAAAATCCTTTCTTAGTTGTAATCTTACGCCATATTTAGACGACAGTAACCTCTCCCGTATGGCGACAACAAATGTAAGGTTAACATCTTCAGATCAACATTTAGCGGTTTCGGAGTGGAATTTAGATAGAGAAGAGAAATTTTTTCAAAGGTATACAAATTTTCCTTATTTACTGGAAAGCGTTAATATTTTCACACTTTTCGATTTGTCATTTTAATTTCTGTTCGTTTCTATCAGACATTTTACGCAGTGCAGGGTCTACAACCTTTTGCTGTCGGCATATAAGACACACGGATGTATATGTCGCTCCCCGATTTCAGCAGGGTAAATCAAGAAAAAAACTAATAATTAGTAAAATTAGTAAACCTGCTATAATACGCAGGGAAATTTTAAAAGATATTTTTAGTAAAAAAATGCATCTTATATACCGTCAAATACGGTATGTACAATTCATTCAGTGTGCCAACAGCATACCTATTTTTAAGTCAAGGTCGATATACTTGTTCTACAATATATTTTATATGCTAATATATAGTATATATATTTTAGTATATATTAAAATTGAAACAGTTAAATATCTCCTTTGCGTTGTTGTAGTTATTGCTTCAAACTTCGTGATGTCATTTGAGGCTACGTGCCTTTAGAAATTAATTGGCGTGCCAAGTTTGGCACGTGTGAATTAGTTTGCCGACACCCTGCTCTAGTGAATCTTTCTCTCGTTCTTTATCTTTGCCCCACCTCTTTCTTCTTTTTCTTTTTTTTTATCAATCTCACTTTCAAATTTCATCTGTCTTTCTCTCTCTTATACTCTCTTTTTTTCTTTTTTGCTTCTTTTTTTCTTTCTATCTTTCTTTGTTTCATTCTACAAGCAAAATTTGTAGACGTTCTCGACGAGAGTTACGCATTTCATTGAAATAAATATTTTCTTTCTATCTCATTCTCAAATTTCTTCTCCTGTCTTTCTCTCTCTTATGCATTCTTTCTTTCTTTCTTTCTTCTTTCTTTCTTTCTTTCTTTCTTTATTTATTTATTTATTTCTACGAGAAAATATGTAGGCCATCTCGACTAAAGTTTCGTATTTCATTTAAATAAAATTATCTTTCCCGTGAAATCTTTTAATTCTTACTTTCTTAGTTGTTTACTTTCTCTCTAACGTTATGTTTTCTTTCTTTGTAATTTCGCTGAATTGTGCAGTTAATTTGATTTATTCATTATATACATTGCAAATATAAATGATTTTCTTTCACTAGTTTTGTATTTCATAAAAATCTGGATTATAGCTTTTATTAAACAGTAATTATTGCTTCCCGTTCTGGGTATTTGAAGATCTTCATGAAGGAATTGCGCCTTATGGAAGGGTTTGGACTTGCAAACCCCTTACATTGGGAAAAAAAACCATGCCCAAAGGGCTTTAAACCTCTCATCTATTAAAGACATCAAGGTAACATTTTTTTAAAGAAATACGAATCTCTCATTGAACCACTCGGCTGATTTTTTTTTCGTAACTAAAAACGTAAACAAAATTATTTCTAAGTTATTAACTAATTTTATTTATAAACTGACATTATTACTTCTTATTGTAAACGTTGTACTGAAGAGATACACGGGTGTGTAGACATACTTTACTCCAAAAGGTTTTACATAGTACAAGCAGGATACAAATTTGAAACCTCTTCTAAACAATGGTCTTCTTCTTTATGTGCCGTGTCCAATGAGAACATCAGCGATCATGTCTCTCCACATCTTCCTGTCCCTTGTAGCTCTTAATAAATTTCGTCTTTATTAACTATTTCTCCCATACCGTGGTCTACAATCCATTTACACAAGCCCATCAATTATGTTACGCGTTGTTTTTCTCCCTCCCTCTTTTCCTCATCATGACCTGTCAGAATTAGATTTGGGGTAGCCCTTCTTCCTCATTACGTACCCCAGAAATTTCAACTGCCTCTTCCTGATGTTAAGTATATGTTACCATTTTGCTTCCATTTTCTCTAAATCTTCGTCGGTTCTCATATTTTATGGTATCCTCAGCATGCTTCTGTATAACAACATTTCCGTTGCTTCAAGTCTCTTCTTCATCTTTGAGGAAAATTTCCATCACTCATTGCCATAAAGGAGGACACATATTATAGAAGAGTTCAGTAATGTTTCCTTTCTTTCTGACGAAGATTTTCTGTCTTTTAATACTCTGCTTGGCTTTTGGAATGCATCTTTGGACATCCTAATGCGTTTTCGGATCTTAGTGTTCCACTTTCCGTCCTCTATTAGAACGCTTAATTTCCTTAAATAAAACAGTAGAATGTCCTGACCGCTAAGCATGCAATACGTATTGTGACAAACGAGGATGTCGCGCCAAAACGTCTATCCTTAAAAGTAATTTTTATAGCAATAAAGAATAATGATTATTCCAATAAGAGTCAAAACTTCATCACACTTCAAACGAGAAACCCGTATTTTATGGATTTTATAAAGTTTGTTTATTTATATTTCTACTTTATTATTTACTACCTGAGTTTGTATATATATATATATATATATATATATATATATATATATATATATATGTATCACACACATATATATATATATATATATATATATATATATATATATATATAGAGAGAGAGAGAGAGAGAGAGAGAGAGAGATAGATAGATAGATAGATAGATAGATAGATAGATAGATAGATAGATAGATATTGTTCTGATGGGCTCTCTGATGAATTAAACATTAATATTTCTTAAATTAATTGTTTTTATCATAAGGCAGCAGCCTTATTGAAATCAAACAAATACTCATTATTGACAGAACAGAATTAAGAGGAATAAAACAGACAAATCTTACTCATAGTCACAAAGAAACAGGATGTTATGGAGAGCCATGATAGTTCATATCTTTAAGGGATATCTCATATAAATGAATGCTATCAGAAAATAGGCGATATCTGCTTCACGCTGCAAATTGTCCTTTATCCAAAGACAGGCAAGCAGATTTAGTTAGTGCCAAATTTCATATTAATTCTATCGCTTTAATTAATAAATTTTGATTGATTGTTTCTTTATTTAGTGGCATATCAACACCTTGTTCATTTAATGTCGAAACTTAATTTTCTTGGAAGCATTAATAATTTCTTTCACAACAATGTATTGCTGCTAATATTTTTTTTCCCAAAAGTGTATTTTTGGTAAAATATAATTATTTTTTTTACCAAAATGTATTTCTGGTATTTTTACTATAAAAATGTATTTTTATATATCATTAGTGTTTTGACGCCAGTTTGGGGGTTAACTATTTGCCCAGAGTTTGAACCCTAACAGGTGCAGCCACGGGGAAATATCACTTGGGGTGGTTCCGCGATCCCACAACAGCCAAATTTAGTTTAACGTCATCCTCAGTACGAGAATATATATATATATATATATATATATATATATATGTGTGTGTGTGTGTGTGTGTGTGTGTGAGTGTGTGTGTGTGCGTGTGTGTAAAATTTTAGGTTTAACTAATATGTATGTAAAACCAAGCTATGAATAAAAACAAAAGGCAAACTTATCTTAGCCGGCGCGTTTCGTTCTCTGATAGTTTAAAAAAACATTAGCAGCAAAAATAATATCCATATATTTGCCTTGTAGTCCACGAGATTACGAAACGCTTTTTTTCTTTTTGTTTTTATTCATACACAAAACACACACAAATGCATAATTCTCATAAACTTTATATATATATATATATATATATATATATATATATATATATATATATATGTGTGTGTGTGTGTGTGTGTGTGTGTGTGTGTGTGTGTGTGTGTGCATGCATGTACTTGTGTGTGTGCTGGTGACGTAGTATATATATTTGAGATATGCGGATATTTCAAAGCGTGCTAAAACTAAAATATAATGTAGATGAAATTATATAGTGTCTAAACTGAAATCCAATTATATATATATATATATATATATATATATATATATATATATATATATATAGATAGATAGATAGATATATATTAGAGAAAGAACAAATGGAGTAAAAATCCACAGTTCGTAGCATTTTCTTTTTAAAATCTGCTCAATGCAAAGTATAGCAAAATATTATTTTATCTTTACTATGAATGATTAAAATAAAAAAAATGTTAAAATGTTTATATTATAATCCCTTATAATCAAATATTACACACACACACTTTCGTGTGTGTGTGTCCAATTAAATATATTAAAGTCTCGGGGATCACAAATGAGAAAACATTGAGAAAATCTCAACTACAACTTTTTATTCTATTTCCCTTCAACCTCGAAAACATCCGCCTTGCCATATTAGCGGCAACTCCAACCTACAATTGCATTGTGTATAAAGGTAATTGTAGACACGTTTGAAGATGTTTTAAACAGGAAACAGAGGTTAGATGGAAGGTAAGACACGGCGATTTTAGTACAATGTTCCGAAGAAAAAAGTGGGGCGCAGTCCGAATTTACATATGTTAAACGTAAGTAATAAAAACACTCAAAAAATACAGACTTACATCTTTGTAGACAAATATAGGTGAATAGTAAATGACATAAACTCAAAGTCAAAAACAGTCATACAATATCAAGAACTAAGAGATGTCGCAGAGAAGAAAGAAGTGAAATGAAAACAAAAAAAAAAACAATAAAACAGTATCAAATAAAAAAAAATTGAATGGACGGAAATATGAAATAAGATGGAAATATCTACGTGAGTAGGTAAATATGTTGAAAACGGGTTGAAAGAGGGAAAATGACATGAATAAATAAATGGGTTTAAAAGCAGCGAAAAATTTAAACAAAGGATTTTTGCAGTGAGATTATGAGTGCATTTTGTTTTTGACTTTGTCTATAAAGAATTATGATTTTTTTAAGCCAACCTTTTTTGGAGAATGTCATGTCGATTTAAGAAAAAAAAAACTACAAATGTAGGTATATCTGTAATATTAATCTTTTCTTTAAAAACAAGACCAAAGAAACTCGTGAAATCCCATTGTTCGCACACACGCAGATGCAAAGAATACTGTCAGGTAACGATATTCAAGCGAAATATATTTCATAACAAATATGATAGACATGCACAAATAGACGACCGTCATTTCTGCTATTTCATTATGTCGTTAGTCAAAATCACATGCAGTTGTTGACGGTGTGATAGCAGTTATGTCATACTAGCGGTAATACGACATAATCGCCTCTGGCTTGATATGTGTGTACGGGACAGAGGAGTGTAACCAATGTGCATCATGCGGAAGAATTGCACCCATTGGTGTTTATCAACCTTTGTTGAATATTTTCGGACACCAACGATGTCAAATGAGCAGACACAAGGATAATCATTTTCACCCGTTTCGTCAGCGTGGTTTAGGAAAAATTGTATCGCGTCCGCTGGTGAAAATATTTTTCTTAAGCATTTCACCCCAAGCAAGGCGGGCCGCCACTAGCAGGCAAGGGGTTACAGAGCGAGAGCGAGAGTAAAGAGGCGTAATAGAGGAAAAGATGAAGAGAACGACAGGGAATAGGTCAGCACATCTGGAGATGTCGATTGACATTATATTTGAATAGTTGGAGATTATATCAATCAGGAAAAGAAGCAATAGGAAGGGAATTCCACAGACAGGAGGTGCGAGACATGAAGCTATTGGAGTAGAAGAGACGGCTACATTTAACCGTTATGACAGTGAAAGGGTGGGACCTAGTAGCACGCTTAAATTCAGGCAGGCTGGAAACTAGCGAAATTAGCTCGTCGGAATAGTTACCGTGAAAGTATTTGTAGAAAAAACAGAGGGAGGCAACGGCACGTCTGTGAGAGAGCGACTGTAGACGAGATGCCAGATCAGGACTAATCACATTGCATATCCGTCTCTGGCTTTTGTCGAGGACCTTAAGGCGAACCGCGGGGGCACCAGATCATATATGTCAGCAGTATTCCATGCAAGGGCAAATAGTTCTTTTATAGATTTGAAGGATGAATTCGCAAAAACTTTCTGGCGCGACACAGGGAACCAGATTTCCTTGCGGTAGATGAAACAATTGATTCAATGTAATTGTTC